ACCATAGAGCCCAATGCATATCCGACCAGGAACACATAGCCAGTGAACTCAAGCACGTACAACAAGCTCTTAAGGCTAATGGTTTTTCCGACTACACAATCCGCAAAGCTATCACTCCAACCATGAAGAAGGACCCTCTTGAGGAGCCTTTCAAAACCATCACTTTACCCTACATTGCGGGGATCACAAAAAAGATCTCCAAAATCTTGAATAAACACAAGATCCAGGTCCGATTCAACACATTACATAAAATCCGTGATCTTGTTCTGTCTGTAAAAGATGTGATTCCGGACATACAGTACCCTGGCGTCTACAAACTAAGTTGCCTCTGTGGTAGTAGTTACATTGGAGAAACCAAACGACATGTCTCGGAGCGCATTCGTGAACACAAAGCAGACCTGAAACACGGTAGGACCAACACTTCGGCCGTGGCAGATCACTGTTATAATTCAGTAGGTTCACATGACATTGACGTCTCCAAGACAGAGGTTCTTTGCAAGCCATCTGGCTACCATGAGAGATTTGTTCATGAGGCTATCCACATATACAAATACAGAGACAATTTCAACCGAGAAGATGGATTCTGGCTTTGCAATCATTGGAATGATTTGATAAACCATTTCGGGTCTTAATTGATTGTTCACGCTTAAGGTGGCTTTCAGACCGCATCAATTATTTTCGTCTCCCCCCTCTTTTCCGAACATAGATGGACTCATACTCTTTGGTTCTATTGGGTAAAGTCACGTAGGTGAAAATAAAATAACAAAAAATCACGACGTTTCGGCCACAACACAAGCGGCCTTCATCAGGTGAAGGGACGAGACTGTCTGGAGGACAGCGCTGGAGTGGAAGAAGCCACGCTTAGATCACGACCTTTAAGCTGTGTGAGAAGAAAAAGACCACGCGCCTTGACAAAGGAATTGGCATATAATTTAGCATTGAAATGGCTCATTGAAATAGCTAAGTTAAAGTATACACATCCGCAGAGGTACCCCTTGACAAAGGAATTAGCGCTGGAGTGGAAGAAGCCACGCTTAGATCACGACCTTTAAGCTGTGTGAGAAGAAAAAGACCACACGCCTTGACAAAGGAATTAGCATATAATTTATCATTGAAATGGCTCATTGAAATAGCTAAGTTATATTCCTTTGTCAAGGGGTACCTTTGGGGATGTGTATACTTTAACTTAGCTATTTCGATGAGCCATTTCAATGCTAAATTATATGCTAATTCCTTTGTCAAGGCGCGTGGTCTTTTTCTTCTCACACAGCTTAAAGGTCGTGATCTAAGCGTGGCTTCTTCCATTCCAGCGCTGTCCTCCAGACAGTCTCGTCCCTTCACCTGATGAAGGCCGCTTGTGTTGTGGCCGAAACGTCGTGATTTTTTGTTATTTTATTTTCACCTACGTGACTTTACCCAATAGAACCAAAGAGTATGGATCCTAGCAGTCACGAAAGCTTTAAATCTAGAATAGATGGACTCGTCCATCTGAATAACTGCCAAACCGCTCTCCGTGGTGCTAACGTTAAAAAAACCGCCACTTTTTTCAAATTTTCTTGCTGTGGTTTTCACACCTGATGATGATTGCTTGTGTTGCAGTCGAAACGTTGTGATAATTTTATTGTTTTATGTTTTTATTATTTAATTGTTTCCCTTCTATGTGACTTTACCGAAAGAACCAAGAATAAGAATATGGCAATAGTCCTTTTCCATAGCACGTAAAAAATCTGCATACCATTATAAAGAAAGGGAAATTCCTGAAATGTTACCTGATTATAAGAATATTTTCATGGCGTGTTATTGATGAATCTATTGAGTTTTTTTATTGTGCTTGTACACCACTGCTAACTCAGCAGCATCACCAAATAATGTATTTATGAAAATCGTTGTGCTATCGCGGCTTGCAATTCCCAGTGGTGAATAGCACATCTCCTATTTCCTGCACATTAGCATAGAGATGTATGGCCGACTTGCAATGAGGATCACTGCAGAATGCCATGTTCTCCCGCTCACAGCTTAATTAGCCCACAAACAGTATTTTGGTAGAAGTATATTTTTTACAAATTTTTCCTTATTTTTTTACAAACCGTTTTGGTCACCTTTCCGGCTTGATCAAGTTCCAGATTACTCGAGTCCGTATTGAAGAGGTTTTACTTTATCAGCACACCTGGCTTTGACATTCATCAAAGACATTTGTGTAACCATCAACTTCATCACAACATTTACTGGCCGATGCACACTTCTCCTTTGTATGTGGAAAATTTAAGACAAGCTGCAATGCGATTGTCGCCATGCAACCAACAACTATGGACTGTATAATAAACCACCGTGGTCTGCGCTCCTTCAATGGAGGAATACTAAAACTACACAAACTCGGTCCTGAGCCTTCTCTTGGCTAGCAGACCTCTACATTGGCACTTACTCCCTGAACATATTGCCATTCGCAAGCATAGAATACACCACCTCCCCAATGTCACCTCAGCAAGTGTCCATTAACAGTGAGTGGTGGGGTGGGGAATTTACTTAAAAAATTTGTGAGTGACACTTTATGGGACCACACATCCGTGTGCTTTATTGCCTCAGTTCCTTCAAACGGAAATTAATCCATGAAACCTGTGTGTACAGAGAACACCCAGTGTTGGGGCTGTTCACGAGCACTTAAGACCACCTAACACCGGCTTGGCGCATGTGAAGTTGGCCTGGCCAACACCATGCCCGGCCACCTTTGTCCAGTGCCAGTGTTTACACAGTATCTCGTACTCCTTTAAAGCTGAGTCCACCGATGGGAGGCCCATGACTGGTTCAGAAAAATCGCCGCTGATATTGGCCGTGCCAGCAGGAATATCATTGGGTTTATAGTGCAATGCGATAATTACTACGACTGCTCCCCACAATAATATGAAAAAATGCATTCAACAAAGACAAAGATCCCCAGTTTTAACATGTAACAGTATTTTAGGGCAAGTGCTGTGCGTGAGCACCTTTGAAGGCTGGCACGGCACAGAAGGGGGTGGGTGGACAGCACCACGCCCAACTGCCTTCGTCTCCCCAGTGGCGAAGTTAACACATTGCACCAGGTACTCATTTGAAGCTGAGTAGACCTAGGGGAGGCCAAGGGCCGATTCAAATATTTGTTGCCACTGTTATTCATCTTGATCGGCAATCGAACTTTGGTTGCTGGGTACGTAGCACAGCGCACCAACCACTACACTTCTGCTTTCTAACCACACACTGATGCACATATTTACGAAAGACATACAGTATACAGTACGGTATATGAATGCACAGACAAGTACTAGATGTGCACACATACACAGACATAACACGTGAACACTTAATAACGTACATGGTAATACTGTACACCATACATAACATTCGTACTTACAGAAACTTTGCACCCAGGTTACAAGTAGCTGTGTGCATGCTTACTGACGTGAGCACACAGGCGAATGGGCCATGTCACGCAAAGAAAAATATCCCCCTTTTGCCATACAGACTGTTGGGGCAGATGCTATTCGTGAACACTTTTGAAGGCCATATTCATAAACACCTACATTCGGGTATGCAAATACACACATCGCACCATATGTAACGCATGTATTAACAACTGTCCAACAATATTCAGAGCACGCCTTAATTGCTGAAATAAAAAAAAGAATTTGCAATGCCCCTGTTGTGAAATCCATATATGTATGTGCTTGGCCATGGTACTGGATATTAAATCAAAGACCTTTAAAGGCATGTTTATGGCTCATTGATGAGACACTAGAGCTCAACACACATTTACAATGAGACTCTCCCAGCAGTTACCCATCCATAAGCTTTGATCCCTAAACCATAATCCCTTAAAACCTATACAAAGTCAAATGAAGCGGCATCTGATAATATTTCATCTATTGAAAGTCAAGGAAGGTCTGTGATTGCATTAAAATCTGGTCTATGATTTTTTGTTACAAAAATCTGTGGGAACAGTAGAGCCAGATATTATATAAGTACAATCGTCACTTTTTGCAGTTAAACAAGTGGAATTGTTGAAGCTTCCGGAATGAAAAATCCTTAGTTTGACACCATCCTCAATGAGTACCACTTCTTGCCGCATGTAATTTTGTTGTTTTAAGGCTGCGAAATGTATGTGCCAGTTATAAAGTTTGGATATAAGGCTGATAGATCTGTTTAGACCTGTGTGCCCGTGTCAGGTGTATTGTGTACCTTTGCATGCTGCTCATCGTGTGTTTTATATTGCGCCCTGGAAAGGGTACTATATAAATGTGAAATAAAATCTTATCCCTGTGCTCTCTACATATGTAGTACAGCAGTTAGATTGCTGTGTTACGATCCCGGCGAACCGAGTTGTTTTCCTGCCCACGGCCACCACCAGTGACAATTATCTGAATTGGTCCTGGGCCTCCCCTAGGTTGACCCAGCCCGAAATGAGTACTTTGTGCCATTGGGGAGACTAAGACAGCCGGACTTAGTGCTGGCCAACTACCTCCTTGTGTGTCGTGCCGGCCAACATAAGTGCTTGCTAAAAGCACTTGCCCCAACAATTTGTTGAGGCTTTAAGGGGGAATCTGTGTCTTTGTGCATGTGTGTACATGCCGATGTATGGACTTCTTGCTAATTGTTTTATTCTTGCCTATGGAAATATGTTCAGTAGCTAAATTCCAATGTTGAGGTCTGCTAGCCACGAGATGGCTTCAGGAGAAAGTTTGTCTAGTTTAGCTATTCTTCCACTGAAGGAGCGCAGACTACATTGGTTTACTTTATGATCCATAGGTTTGGGTTGCATGGACACAATCGCACTGTGACTTGTTTGTAATTTTAAATGCATTAAGGAGATGTGTGCATTGGCCTGTTGATGTTCTGATGCAGTTGATGGTTACACTAGTCTTTTAGAGTAATATCAAAGCCACTTGTGTTTGTCTGTTGTGTGTGTGTCTGTTGTGTGTGTACACGTGTTGTTTAGCATTTTGTTGTTTTCCTGTGCTTCTCATGTGCAGACAAGTGTCCTCTGCCCGGGTGCAATGTGGACCCCGCAACGCAACTGAGCTTCGATGCCGTGAGCTCGATCCACGCGCGCATGGACGATGATGAGGACGGCACCATTGACACGAGGGAGAGCGACGGCGTGAGCAACATCATCGTCACTGTCACGATCAAAACATTATGATCGTTGTCATCATCAATATCATCAACAAAAATTACACCAGTTACTTCATCATCATCAACATACCATCATCGGCAACTTCACAATTGTCATTATTGCCAGCATCATTCACACTGAGACATGGAAATGGCATAAGGATTTCACCAACACAAGCCTCACTAGCATTGTGTGTATGTGTGAGTGTTGGGTACATGTGTCAGGCTAAAGCCCATTTGCCCTTAGTTAAGGGACTGAAATCCTGCCCCCCGCAGAGAGCCTACAGAAAGACTGCACAGGTGCAGTCCTGAGAACTTATGTTTAATTCTCTGCAATGTAACACGAGTTATCCCTATCCGCACCACTCGTACTGTGGCTACTCAACCGGAAGCTAGTCTTTGATGAAGCGTGTTTACATCAGCATCGTGGAGACAAATGCGCCTAGGCATGGTGTTCGTCACATGACCCTCTTGTGTGCCATGCAAATCTCAATAGATACGAGCACCACTTGGTGTTCTGGTTCGTATGATTAATAATAAAAAATAATTTCAACTTGTCTTGGACACAGTACACACACTAGAAAAGTTTAACATACATACAAATAAAGGCATTCAGGTGGTGAGCCGGTACCAATTTTCGGCTAAAGCTCTGTGGTCTTCTATATATTGAAGTGTTATTGGTGATTTAATTAGTGTTTACATGTTAGTGTAAACCGGGCCACCTGGAGAAAACCGATACGTAAGAGGGGGAAACACTTTATCCCATGCAGATGGAAAAGGTGGAGTCCACATTTTCTATAGCGCCTTCTCCTGGCAAGTAAGGGTAATGCACATTGACACCAACAGGATTTGTGTGATCCACCATCCCTCACTGCATCCACAGTACTGGATTATATGCCTACACCACCATCGCCTGGTGATGTAAAGACATGTGTTTGTCTGTGTACATCCAAGTTCCTGCGTGAGGACATGGAGTACAGCGACCCGGCCACACAACACCGTCGCTTCCACGGCGGAGACCAGACAATCACGCTTAAAGAGATGTGGGCAGCCTGGCTTGCATCTGATGGTACACTCACACACACTCACAAAATCGTACATTTCGCAGTGCAATGCTTTACAATCACTCACACGCTCATATACACACGAGGGTACGCACATGTCATGTACACAATCTTGAATGCAGTGCTTGTACCTGCACTCATTGTACATGGTCACTCGAATTGGTTAATTTGCAATTTCGTTGTATCGGCTACGTAACAATGTGTGAAAGCTACTTAGCTTGTTCCTCCACAAGAAGCTCTGGGAATTCTCGGCCACATTTAATCCTCTCATTTTTTTACTTGTGAACCATACACCCATTTAAAAGAACACCTGCGCTGGCTTGAAACATTCAGGCTGGCCAGCTTATGATCAACTGTTGGTTTGACAAGACTGGATTGTGTGATGAACTTACATATTGGAAATAATGTAGACTTCTTTTTCTATGCCCAGCCTATTGCATACTCTGTTTGGCTCAATGGGCCTAAATGGGCATGGTATGTGCTTAAGAGGAGATGGGCAGATATGGTACAGCAGGACACGGAGCTGAGTGGACCTGCGAGCGATTTGTACTAGCGGTGTCAAATTCAGCTTTTGTGGAGTAGAGTCGTGAAAAACGCTGCTGAGCAGATGCAGACAGCCACCCTCCAACAACAACAGAGTGCCTCGGAGTGACACTCAAAACAATGAGCAGAGCCCTGGACAGATACAACACAGCAATATTTTTTTTTTATTTAAAGCTTTCGTGACTGCAGGGATTCATATTTTTGGTTCTTTCGGTAAAGTCACGTAGAAGGAAAACAATAAAATAAAAAAATAAAACATATAGAACAATATAATTTTATTGTTTAATATTTTTATTATTTTAATTTTTCCCTTCTACGTGACTTTACTGAAAGAACCAAGAATATACAGCAATAATTGTTTTATTTTATCAGGTAAAACCCACTGAGCTATTAGCTATTTTCAGAAGCAACCTGGCCACAAATGATAGCTCAACAAAGTGGCTTATCATTTGAAAAGTTATAGCAGCAGCCAAATAATCCAAACGCATGTTTCTGAATCTGGAAAGAAAAACCGGAGGACCCGGAGAAACATCCATGCGACCACGGGGAGAACAAGTAAACTCCAAATATACAGGCATCGTCAGGGTTGAACCCCTGAGCTTCTGCATACCAGGCGAGGGAGATGACACTGGGGAGCAGTCACCTCAGTAATTTAAAACGGTTATGTGACTGATGCGATAAAACCTGACCCTGTTCAGTCGCCTCCTGCGATTGAGCCTATAACACTTTACATGGCCTTAGTGTGAACCATCGGTTATTGTTATTGTGGTGTCTGTCTACCCCCCTCAGTTTACAATTGGACAGTGCAGGATGTGGCACTGTGGCTGGAGACCATGGTGGAGCTGCCCCAGTACTTGGAAAACTTCCTCGAGAACAACATCGACGGGCCTAGTCTCCCCAGGTGTGTACAAACATGTTCTGTCTTAGGCAAACTCAGCCTAAAATGGCTGGAAGGTCCTTGTGTGTATGCATTTGGTCAAGAAAAAATGAACACTGGTATTTTGGAGCCAAAGGTGACCTTGTGGTCACGGTTCTGGGCCTACTGTTACCTCTATATGTGTTTTGATGTACATGTTTGCATTTCAGCTTATACACATTATTTACATATCTTCAACCAGGTGAGCGCTCATTGTTTATGTACAGTCCTTTTGTCACTCCACTGCTGAATGAGGGCCTCACAGTGCCATGCGGGTCATAGAGGTTAATAGTCCATACTTCTCTATGCTGGTCAGTGTGGGTTCATAAAGGCGGGGAGCATACACATAGCGGCACAAGTACAGTACAGCAATAGATTTTTCCGCACTACCCTATGCTGCCTACCCTCTGTTTCCACAGTCTATAACAACCAACTGTGCATTGTGGTCACCAATCCCATCACTTTTCAGGCTCAGGCTTGCTTAGCTTCGAAGATCTGACGGGATCGGGTGCATTCTGGGTGATTTAGTCATATGCGAGAGCACATTTACAGGAGGATAAAACTAAATTTATCTTAGCTTTTGGTGATAATTTCAAGTGTGTGTCTCAGGTTGTCCAATATGGGCGAGATTGTCCAATATGGGTTTGATTATTCCTTAATGAGCACTCATGTAAAATTTTTAGCGGTGTTGTTTTCTCTTTAAATACTTCATTGCAGTCATGTCACCAGAGCACTGTAGTGGTTATTTTGAAAAATCCTTTGAGGTTATTTTTCTCATGAAAAAAAACGTTAAACCTTGAGTTGGACAACTTGTGACCCAACCTATGAACCAGGGATGTGTTTCCGATATTTGGATTACAGTAAAGCCTCTCAAAACCGGACTGCTTGAAGAGAGCCTTTCCCATTCCCGGGGATGTCCAGGATACTGCATACAATTTAACAATCACTAAGTTACTAAATTTTAAGTAAAGTCAAATCTAATTAACACTGATCTTTTATTTAACATTTCATAACGATTCACAAAATAATTATATCATAGGACTTCCTTTGCCAGTACCAAAAAATGAGAATAGGTTTTCTCCTTTTTTCTGGCCACAAAACAGGTGTTAAGATATTCATATTCTTAGTTTTTTCGGTAAAGTCACGTTGAAGAGAAACAACGTGACTTTACCGAAAAAACTAAGAATATGAATTGCTGCAGTCACGAAAGCTTTAAATCAAAATTTAGGTGTTAAGATGTTAAAACACCAAACTGAAACCTTTTACAAGGAATCATGTCTGCATTAACCACAATACTTGTGGTCAAAATGCAAACAAAAAACATACTCTGATAATATATGCATTGTCTTTGAAACTGATTGGTCCACACCAGAGACAGCTTTCTTTGGAGCCTCGTCTCAAAAGGTGTTAGACCAGAGGAAGCCTTTTGGCCAGAGGACAACTTTTGGTGCCTTTTGGCATTTGTGGGAATATCTTTGTGCTAGTTTGTGTGCATGCATGTGTAAGCAAGTGTATGATTGTGTATCTGATAGTATGCTTTATGGCCGTGTGTGTGAATGTGAGTGTATGTGGGGAGCGGTGGTGTTGTGATTAGCGCGCTGCGCTACGAACCCAGCCACCTGAGTTCGATTCCCGCTCACGGCCAACACCAGTGACGATTATCTGAACCGGTCATGGGCCTACCCTAGGTCGACTCAGCCTCAACGGAGTACCTGGCGTGTGTGTGCTGTGCCGGCCTTCATATGTGCTGGCTAACAGCACTTGCCCCTACAGGCTATATGGGGAGATTTGACTTTCTACAAATGTGAGTGTGAGCTTCGCACCACGACCTACAGTCACTTATCAGCTGGCAGTGGTATTAAATGCCTGTGATCTAGTGCTTTGGAATCAAGCATTGATAGAGCTGCTGGGCTGTGAGGTGGTGACCCAGGGTGTGGTGATACAGAATGTGGTGTTGGTTCATCAACACCATTTTCTATAGAATGTGTGTACATGTATGAATTGGCCTGCATGCATACGTGTGTGTGTTCAGTGGGGAGTGGTGGAACAGTTGTTTGTGCACTGTGCTACGAACCCGGCGACCTGAGTTTGGTTACCACACAAGGCCAACAGCGACAATTATTTGAACCAGTCCTGGGTTTCCCCTTTGTCGACTCGGCCTCAAATACCAGGTGCGATTTGTAAAAACATCGCCACGAAGGAAACAGGCGTGGTGCCGGCCACCCACCCACCCCTTTATATTCCGTGCCGGTCTTCATAGGTGTTTGCTTAACAGCACATGCCTGAAAAGTCTGTTAAGGCTATAGGAGGGATATTTATCTTTGTATGTTCCAGGTTGGCCATCACCAACCACACATTCATGACCACCATTCTGAAAATCCCGGAGAGGAGCCACCGACACAAACTGCAGCTCAAGGCCCTGGATGTGGTGCTGTTCGGGGCACCACTGTGTGGGTCTACGCACCCCATTCCTCCCCACCGCATCCCATTACTGTATATCACATGACCATACATACAATCACATTGACTAAATATCAAGCCACATTGATATACATCACAGCACATTTATTTATCATCAAGCCACTTTGCTATATGTCAAACCACATGACTGTCCTTCATACCATGACTGCGCATCACAACACACATGTGCATCACACCAAAAGGATTTACATTACACTCTATCATGCTGTCACATCCTTTTCATCCACAGTCTCATTGCTCCCAATCACTTTCCGTCTGTGTATGTGTGTGCAAGCAGCGGCCCAGCGGAGCCGCGTGAAGGATGTGGCTTTGGCTGTAGCGGTGGTGGCAGCTGTGACGGGCTGCTGGCTGGCACTGGTGCAGCGTCGTCGTGCGCTGGAGCACGTTGCTCGCGTTACTAGCGAGCTTGACAGCCTTCAAAAGGCAGAACAGAGTCTGCTCGACATGCAGGCCAGGTGGGGACACGGGAGACTGTGGGACAATGATTCACGGGAATTGGAGCTGCACATGGCCTAAAGTGATTTATCAATTTACACGGTGATAAGTTGCAGCACGTATTGTGTGCATGACATCGATTGAACAACTTCGGACCACAGTTTTCGATCCAACTGTGCAATTGTGATACCAGGTCATGACATAAAGTAATGTCATATAATAATATCCAAGTCACTCTTGCTAATGAGACTCTCCTGGTCTCTTGAATTCTCACCTGGTTAAATAAACTTGCATCGACTTTACGAAATCACTGGAAACAGAGAGACCAGGACCCGAAGACAGACAGCTGATGCTTTGTCTCGATGGCTGATGATAATATGTCTCTGGCTGAAGCTGTGAGGCTCTGGATCACGGGTATCAAATTTCTCTTCTGATAACACTGCCACCATCTCGGTGTCTCCCTCTGCACAGGCTTCTGAAGGCCCAGGAGGAGCAGCGCCAGGCAGAGGAGGAAAAGCAGAACCTGGAGATGCGGCTGCATCAGGAAGCGACCAAGCGAGCACAAGAGTGCTCGGCCCAGCCCGCGGATGAGCACGAGTTGAGGGGGCAGGGCGAGTGGTCGTTGGGCGAGTGGGCGGTGGACGAGCGGGCGGTAGGCGAGTGGGTGGCGGGTGAGCGGGTGGAGTATGAGCCGAGCGTGCTGCAGGCGTGGCTGCAGCTCACGCATGAGATGGAGGTTGTGCACCATGCGACGGCTCGCTCTCATGCTGAACGCCAGCTCTCAGTCGCCCGTGACATGGTGAGGCTCGTGTGCGCTGCTCACCGACACACAAAGTATAAAGCTAGATTCGAAGGTTTCGTGACTGCAGGAATTACTCTTTGATTCTTTCGCTAAAGTCATGTAGAAATTTAATAATAATATAATACGACGTTTCGATTGCAACACAAGCAACCATCATCAGGTACAAAAGAATGAGAAAACAAACATCGTAAACTTGGAACTAAAATGCAATACAACACAGAGAGTCGGCCAACACAACAGTCAACACCCCACCTGGTTGATTACATTCTTCCAAAGATTGCTAAATTTTAGAGGGAGACAAAACATAGACACAGAGACACACAGACAGACACACAAGCAGAGAGAGACTCACACAGATACAAACAGAGAGAGACACACACATAGGCACACAGAAAGACAACGTCTCTGTATCGAGGCCTTAAATTGGGAGAGACGGGGGGGGAGGGTTGGCAGAGGGGGAGTTGTGTGGAATTCCTGCCCATGGCGGACGGACGAGCTGGACACTGGACCTTTAAACATATAAGCACAGAGCGTTGTGTGGAATTCCTGCCCATAGCGGCCGGAGGAGAGAATTGACTTATAAACAAGCACGGAACAAGCACGGTAGAAAGCAAATTTTGTAAAATTAGGAAGTGTAATGCAATGCAACACAGAGTCGGTTAGCACACAGTTAACACATAGCCTGGTTGGATATGTTTGTTTTCTCATTTATTTGTACCTGATGATGTTTGCTTGTGTTGCATTCGAAACGTCGTATTCTATTATTATTTATTTAATTTCTATGTGACTTTACTGAAAGAACCAAAGAGTAAAGTCTAAAGCCTCTGTTTAGACACACAGACTGTGGGGGAAAGTGCTGTTAGCAGCCCCGCATGACGCACAAGGGGGTGGTGTGACCAGGACCATGCCAGGTTGCCGTGGTCATCTCCCCAGTGCTCGCACACTGCACCAGGCACTCATTTAAAGTTGAATCAATCTGGAGCAGGCCGAGGATTGGTTCACGGATGTTGACCGTGAGTTCAAATTGAACACGGGTCTCAAAGTTCGTAGCACAGTGCGCTAGACATCGCACTTCTGCTCCTACACTAACAAAGACAAAGATCCCACATGTAGCCTTTAACAGACTGTTATGGGAAGTGCCGTTAGCAAGCACCTATGAAGGCTGGCACAGCACACAAGGGGGTGGTGGTCAACACCATGCCCAGCCGCCTTGTCAATCCATTGCTGATTCTTTACGCACTGAACCACACACACAAACATACACAAACACATACAAAGACCCCCCATATAGCCTTAACAGACTGTAAGTGCCCTTAGTGAGCACCTATGAACACCAGCACGGCACACAAGGGGATGGGTGGCCAACACCACACCCGGTTGCCTTTGTTTCCCCAGTACACCGCACCAGGTACTCATTTGAGACTGAGTCGACCTATACATATGTACACACGGACATCCACACACTTACATGTCCTCTTGCTCACGAACGCACGCACTCACTAACATTCCCACAGTGGATTCACTAACATGCAATGGCAGCCCAACCTGTTTACGAAAACAATCACTGCAGCATGACAACATGAGCCAAATAATGCATTCTCCAGCACACATCACGCTCACTGATATTGAACACTCAACGGCATATGCTTATTACTTACTTGCTTACTCCTTTTCGATCCCTGTGGAGCATAAGGCCGCAACAAGCCCACGCCATGTCGGACAGTCTTTAGCATCTTTCTCTCATTTGCTCATTAACACATAATAATGTTGTTTTTGCCTACACCCTGTGATATACTCACTGATATACACCAAGCGGCATTCACTCATGCGAGTACACACTCACGAGCACGCACGCATGCATACGCTCACCAGCTTAGAATCAGGATCACAATCTTTATTTAGACTGGAGGAATCCAATGAGCTATGAAGCTCTCACATATGGCCTCGGGCATGCATTGGTGCGTGTGGGTGTACGTGTGTGCAATGGTTTTGTCTGTGTGCGGAATTTTAAGTGTGCATGTGTTTGCGGGTGCCCATGCAGGCCGAGAAGGTACAGCGAAAGCGCAGCTCAGTGCTGGGCGCATTCTACATTGCTCACAGCGCCTCCCTCGACGAGGTCGATCACAAGATCCTCACTGCTAAGTACGACCTCTCCCCCTCACTCACCCCATTACACCCTATCGTTCACCGCATCACTTCCACCCTCATGTTGTATGGTATAATCTCATGGGTTGGAGTTGGTTGGGCTGTAGCACGTCCTGTTGTGTGATATGTTGTAATATTTCGTGCTGTGTAGTTATGTAGTGTATTATGTTACACTGTATCGTGTGTTGTGTTATGTCATGCTGTATTATATGGAGTGTTGTATTACTTGTAGGTTCTTTGTGTAGTCTTTTGCCATCTTACGGTGTTGTTTTGCTATGAAGTTTTAATTTTATTGTGTTGTTGTGGTGGGTGAATGTCCAGGCAGGCGCTGTATGACGTGACCAACAGCCTGCGTGAGCGGCTCCATCGCTGGCAGGAAATAGAGAGAGTGTGCGGCTTCAGTATTGTCCAGAACCCAGGCCTCAACGCCCTGCAGGTCCGCCTGATAGAGGGGCGCCAGGGAGACGGTACGGAGAGATGGGACACGGGGAGAGACACAAGACACGGGGGGAAGACATGGGGAATGGGGAGAGACGTGGGACATGGGGTCACACCTGTCTTGCAGACGAGTACCTGGGAGATAGTACAGGTATATGAGGCATGGGGACACAGGGAGAGACCAGGGCCATGGGAGTGGGTCAACCACACAAAGGGTTGCCTGAAATCCTATGGCTGACGGTGTGAGAGCATGTGTAGGGTAGACAGACAGAATGCAGGAGAATTCACAGGGACATAGCAAGAAATGTAAAGGTATATAAAGACACACAGGACCCGGGAGGACACATGGGATATGGGAGGCAACATACAATGCATTCATGGGCACATGGTGACACAGGATGAGACACAGGAAAATGGGAGGGCATACATTACATTTGAAGGAGACCTAAGGATACAAAAGAAGACTGAATAAATGCCAACACTAGAGGGAACACATGGACAAAGGGACTGGGACTTGGGGAGGAAGACACAGGTATATGGATGGAGATTGTAATGGCACAATCTCCACCCATCTTCCTGTCTCCTCCTCCCATCATTATGCATCTTCATTTCCCTCCCTCCCTCCCTCCCCCTGTCCCCACAGACGAAATCCCAGCCTCGGCCTCCATGCCTGTCTTATCCTCGCGCCCATCCTCGTCTTCCTTGTCTCTCCCATCATCCCAGTCGGCTAATCAACTCCCCTCCAAGAGTCACGTGACCCGCTCGGTGGCCAATGATATGGCTCCTGCGGCACTGCGAGCACGTTTTGCCCACCTGCCGCAATCCGATTGGTCAAGGACCGTGTCACATGACCCTCTCCCTTTGGCGGGGCATCTCCACAAGCCCAAAGTGGCTTTCACTGCAGGCTACGTGCGGTAGGAAAATTTGGTGAACTTTAATGAACAAACTGTGCATTCATATAAGCCGATGGGCAACCTTGGGGTTGTTATAGGCAATCAGCCAGCATCACTTAAAAAATTATGTTTTAATTATCAGGCTGGGTGTCTAAAACTGTTAGCTCATAATCACCTTGTTGGGGCACCAAGTCGGCATCACTGATATCTTAGGGTCAAATATTAAGCTCTTATCAGCCACATGTGGTGAAACCAGGTTCAACTATGTTTTGATTATGACAGTCCCAACCCAGTTGCTGTTGACTGCACAAAAACAATTGTGTGATAAAAATACTAAGAAAATTATAACAAAAACAGCAACAGGAAATAATTTTATATCGTGTCTCAATGCAAGCGCATTTTAAGACGCTTTAAACGAATGAAGGGCAAAACAATGCTTGAGGGTAGAAGGCTGGTGGAGAGGCCAATGTGAGAGCAGGGAAACATGGGATAGAGAAGAGAGTTACACCTTTGCAGCGCCTGGGACAAAGCAACCAGGACTCAGCACCAACAACAACAGCACGAGCTCCAGGGACAGCCGCAGCAGCCAGGGCAACACCAACGAGTGCAGGACACCCACGAGGGATCTATCACCATATTTGAAACCCCCTCCTGTAGGAATCGCCTCGTCCTTCCACTGCATAGCACCATGGAAGGCATTTGTGAATACTGATTTGTAATTGCCACATACATTTGCTTTAGTAAATTGGCACTTGAATAGGTATTTAGGTCGTTATTACCATTTAAAATGAAATGCAAGCAGTGAATTAATCGCTACCAAATGCATTCAGATTATAAATGGTACTTGAATTATCGGGTTACATTTGTTTAACTACAGTAACATAATTTTGGTGACACTGTACTAAGTTCGTGTTTGTCTGTCCTGCATCTCTGAATCTATTTTTTATATCTATCCCAACCTCTCCCTCTTTTTCTCTCCATCTCTTTACCCTGTTCCATCTCTTGCCATTCACGCTCACTCTTATGCTGCTGCAACACCTCTCTCTCCTCTCCTCATTATTTGCTCGTTTTCCAATCCTTCCCTATCCTCGCTATCTCCCACAACCCGTTGTATGCTCCCTTTCCTCTCTTCCGCTTTCCCTCTTAGGCAGGGAACCAGCATGGAGTCACTGGGCTCCATATCATCTGCCCCCCTAGGCTGCATCTCCCAATCACCGACAGGACAGGTCCCATCGGGTCCTGGCCACAGTCCTTCGGGCCCCGAAGACTCGAGTGAGAGCGACACCAGTGGCGGTGGTACCAGTGGAAGTCTGAGAAGGGGAGGGGCGAACAGTCCAGGCAGCCATGCGATGAGGTCTTCGCCCACTGCGGCTGCGGTTGCTGCTGGAGCTCCGGTCACCAAGAAGAGCCGTGCCTCAAAAATCACGCGCATCTTCAAGAAGGCGAGCATCTGAGGCCTCTGTGCCATCGCACGTAAATAAATGCAAATGTAGTGTTGCTTGTTTAGGGCCTCATTCACTTGTTGAAAGGTATCATTTTAATGTTGTCACTGATATTTTTTGGTGGAAACTGCATTTCTATCAGCCTATGCATTTATTTCTTAATTTACAGATTTGAACACGATTGATGACAATGCTGTCACAAACCGGCATCTAGGCTGACAAATGAATAACAAATGAATAGATTTTATACAAATAAAACGTATTTCATTGACAAAGTTTACTAAGAAAGGCTGAAGCCCAGTGTACACAGGACTGGCACAGGGTAACAACAGTGAAAACTCAACTATGCATTTCCCTCCGGCTGTATCACTGGTGTGTGTTGCTCTGTCATCACTGGCACTATAACTCGATCATCTGGGATATTGAGGGGAGAGGGGTTCCCTGGATAAAACAAAAAGACAGATAATGGAAAATATATTTAAATTAGGCCATAACAACATATTTATTGTTTATCAGCTTGTAATGAGAATGAAGGCGTCAAAAGCGTAGTGTGTTTGTTGCTTACTAAAGCAATCGATTTGCATGCCAACGTGTTTTTGGTCACGTGGACACTGAGTCGCTGACTCTCAATAAGTGAGCAACTGCTCACAAACCAACAAGTGCATATAAAGATATTTTATTTCTTTTTTTGCAAGCACGGCTAGTCCGCAACCAAGATAGATGGCCCATGGACAATGGAGTGTTCACTGTATTTGAGCAACCAAGTAGTCGTGAAAGAATGGCTTGGTGAAGACCGGCCAGTCGGTGACAAGTGTGACCTGAGGTAGGCTCAGTGCAGTACCCCAGTCAGCACAAGAACTACTTCATCACTAAATTTTGATTTAAAGCTTTCGTGACTGCAGTAATTCATATTCTTAGTTCTTTCGGTAAAGTCACGTTGAAGGAAAACAATAAAATCATAAAATATATATAAAACTAAGAATATACTTCATCACTGTTGTAACATTTATGTTTGTCGCCAATTATGGTTCATCATAACAGTCACTGTTATTGCCATGTTGCTGGTTATTTACTGAATGTATGCACTATAATATCTATGTTAGGCATGTAATAATGCATTGATTTATTGATATTGATTCTTATGATCGTGGTCATAGAATTGTGTATCAAAGAATCGATCTTTTTTTTTATCCTGTATGTTGTCTGTGGAAGCGGAGCCGTTAAGAGCACTATGCCATCAACCCAGTAACTAGAGTTACATTTCTGGCCATAGCTGCCTTCAGTGGTGAGTGATATCTGAACTGGTCCTGTGCCCCCCACCCTTAATCAACCCCCAGTGACTAGTGTGGTGATTAATAGCGAAATTTGCCCTATAATTGAAACGGGGTGTTACGGCCTTAGGCACTGGATTGAGAAAGGGCTGATATTGCATGTTATATGTAATTTATTCAAATAAACCTTGCAACCACCCTCGATCCCACATGGACTGCAGGCAGTGGCAAAAAAAATATCGATTCTTAAATCATTTGGCAACGTAATATTTACCTGTAAGCTCATGATATGTATGTGCAAATGCTTCTTCACCTTCTGAAATAACCCGAGTCTACATGTCTCAATTAATTTGGTTTAATGGTTTATTTCACATGTGAATAAAAAGCATGAAACTTGAGTTGAGAAACACATAAGGCCATTATAACCTCAATTGTTGCAATTGAGTCAAAGCATGGATTAACTTTTATACTTAATTATTTGCTGATTAAGAGACAATGTCTTTAAAAAAATCTCACGCAGTTTATAGTTGACAATTACAGTAGGCTCCTACTACCGTGGACTTCTTGTTTGCATGAGTACAGTGACTGAAAGTGTTATAAAAAAAAATAAGATGAACGTTATAGCAGTGCATTGTCATCGAAACATACCATGTTTCACTCCAGTGCCATTGGGAGTCCGAGGAGTTATCGCAGAATGTATGCTTTTTGTTTCTATTTTTTGTTACTTAATGACTGTGTCAGGACCCGGCCACTTTGAGCCTCTTCAGAGATTAATACTTTTAAGTGCCTTTTTTTCGTGTTTTGTTTTGTAACATTACATGCTGTGCATCACATTGCCACCGGTTAGTAGCGGTTGAGCTGGTACATTGCTTCTTTAAAACCGCTGAATAGCTTTTTTCCAATGAGAAATGTGTGAGCTCCAGCCATTGGGGGTTCCCATTAAATATGAATTGCTTTACTTTGCTTTCGCTTTAAGTCAAAGTGCCTTAATATTTATAAGCCAAAGAATTAAACGCATGTTTAAAAAGAGCAATGATTGTAGCATGCGTTATGAAATTCATGGTATAAATCTAGACCTGTAGGCATGTAACAATACATCAGTTAATCAATTAATGTAAATTATTTCGGTAAAGTCACGTAGGTATATAAAAAAAATAATCACGACGTTTCGGGCGCAACACAAGCGTCCGTCTTATACTTACTACGTGACTTTACCGAAAGAACCCAAGAGTATGGATCCCTGCAGTCACGAAAACTTCAAATCTAGATTGTAAATTCTCATAATGTATAAGCATCAACTCGCGAGTATACGAATACTTTTCTGCAATTGGTAATGTATTTCATGTCAATTCTGCAGCCGTTAAGAGACTATCGTTAATTGTGATGTTTAAACAAGAACCATTTATTCAAGTAAATCATGACCCTCAATTGTGACAACTTGTCTATTCGCCAGTAGTTTATGGAAGTGAATCATTCCACTCCTGCTAGGACTGCTTACTTGTTTGGGGCACCACGGTGGTGAGATAACTCCCCCTCACCTGGTTTGTAGGAGGGCGTGGGTTCGATCCCGACCCTGACACCTGTATATTTGGAATTTGCATGTTCTCCCCGTGGTGGCATGAATTTTTCTCCAAGTCCTCCGTTTATTCCCTCCAGATTTAGAAACATGCGTTTAGAGTATTTTGCTGCTAGAAATTTTGACATGATAAGCCGTTTCGTTGAGCTATCATTTGTGGCCAGGTCGCTTCTGAAAAATAGCTATATAGCTCATTGGGCTTTACCTGGTAAAATAAAAAGTTTAATAGTTATATAAAAAAAATGTTTACTTCAGGTTATATATAGTAGTTTGAATTTTAATGATTTATAATTTTGGGGGAGCTTTGTCTGTAGTAAGTTAAAACGTCATTCCCGAAGGACAATCTGCACTATCCAACCTAGAGTTCACGCTTTTGGTAAGAGAACTGTCGGTTGGTGAATATATGGGTGAGAAGATAGGGCAGAGAAAAACAGATTTTTGGGAACACTCTGCAATAATATATTCCATCTCCTCCAGAGGGGGTGTTTCTCACCTATGTATTGCCATGTGGACCCACGGGAGAGCATTCCTGTATTTATGCAAGTGTCGGTACACCTTTATTTAAACAATCAGGACATTCCATTATTCAACCAGTGAGTGCATTCCTTTATTTAACAGTGGTAAAAACATTCCTTTAACCAGGGGAGAATGTTTTAATTATGAAAGTGGTTGAATGCTTTCCATGGGGGTTTGCAAAGGGTTGGGGCTTGCCCCATGACTGCTGTCTGGTAGCCCTTCACCTCACTGTGAATCTGATGTGCGTTATTTTGCCTTGATTCGATGTGTAGTATATTGTCTTGGTCTGCACATGTTTTCCCAGCTGATGGGGATTGTTATTATCAGGAGATGGCGTCCATTGCTTCGCATACTTGGTATGGTTTTTTTTTGCAGAGTGTAGACGTGCTTGAGCTGTTGACGGGGTTGGCACTGGTGCTGAGACATGTTTGTGAACACTCACACTTGTACACTCACACGCAATAACACTAATTATCACCGTCACATATGCCAAAGCTCCAATATACTACCAAGACGCACACCATCACTCGCACTCAAATACACCAACACACTAACATTCACCACCACTCGCACAACAACACATACATGAACACTTACGTACTTTAGCTTTCAGCCGTATATTTTGAATATACCGTAATTCACATACACCAACACTAATCAACACATACAGCAACGTTCACTTTAACTAACATACAACACTGACGAACACATACACCATCACTCGCATGCACCAACACTCAACCACACAAGCCCCACATGGCAACAGCCAACTCTCACAAGTTCTACACTTACACTTCGACACCAACAGTCTTAACGTACACACGTAAGAACCAACAGTCACTGAAATAAAGTTGCCAACACTGTCACTCACAACCACTTAGTCACCAATGAATATACATTTACCAATGCGTACTGTTGCCCATCAATACAATATCACCAACATAAACACACACTTGCCTACATACCAACACATACTCGCATGCGCCAATTATACACATTCGCCCTCTTACTCTTAGGCTGGATTCGCACTGGATTTTAGACGTGCGTTTAGTGGATGTCACATGCTTTGTGTAAATCCATTCAACCATCCACAAACTTCTTAACCTTAGGGTTACTTGGTGTCACGTAGTGTGTGTTTATAGTTTGGGCCGATATTTGGCCCACATTATTAACATTTAGCCCACATTGTTAACATTTAGACACTCTCATCAAAATATTAAAAACATATTTCCTTTTTGATTGTGTTTCATTATCCTTAGAAAGTAATATACAATAGCTAATGATTTAAAGCTGGTTTATTCACCAATTAAGTTGAATACCCATTAGAAATACCTCTTTCTCACCCAATACACTTAATAACATTGACACCAGGGTTCTGACTGATTTTTTTGTCCTTGAAAGCAGGTCTGCTGCAGTTATAGAGCAGCCATGGAAATGCCCTCACTTCTGCTATTAACATCTCGTTGAATTCCACTCAGTGTCCTTTATGTTAAGCTGTTTGTCACTCCCCAACCCTGATTGGGTACAGTTCCACTCGATGAACAATATAGAGTTCTACTCTTGTATATTAGAATGCATTAACGTTACAGCCCATAATTAATGTCGCCTCTTTTAAATTCTTTAGAACTGCTTGTTGTGTTTAGTTTGTTGTCCTTCCCCTGCACCTCTAATTATCACGGTTAGCTAAGTACGATGGGAAATAAGTTCAATATACATAATAGCTATTCGGTTTTGTGTGTGCGTTAAGCGATCCTGTGTAAACTCAGTTACACTCCCAACACCCCTCACTAACACACACGCTTGTCGCCACAAATTGACACTTGCGCAGTTGTGCTTTCATCACTTGTGCTGGTGGAACCTCAATGTTGGTGATGCCTTCTGTGTGCCTGCTTCTGTGCCCATTGTCTGTTGAATTAAATATCGTGCTTTATGCCATCGCTGTATGTTTGGTTGGTGTATCTAGTCCAGGGGTTGGCAACCAAAATGATAAGAGCCATTTTTTCGAATTTAGTACGAAACTCAATTTCTAAAGCCGTAATGCATATGTAATGACTCTCGGACAACACGAACATTACTACGTGTTAAACGAACATTACATCACAAAGCAGTCCTTAAAGAGGCACATGCAGTTCTGGAGCTGCAGGTTGCCAACCCCTGAGCTAGTCGGACTACTTGCGCACACACTCGTCACTTGTATAAATATGTGTAATGACGACTTGACACACTTTCTTGAGATGGTTTATTTTATTGTAGACACGTTCACTTGAACAGGCGGAGACCCCACTGCAACAGCCCCGAGTCTCCCCCGCATCTCCCTTATGTACGGTCCGAGGCCACGCCCCCATTCCATAACCTTCTTGCTGATTCTAGACGCTTGCTGTACCAGCAGACTCTACCGTCCTCTTCTGTCACCTGGCAACGCTCCTATTCTCGATCATTCCCATAGCCACCAGTCCATTCGTACTACAAGATGATTCCCCTTACATTTCCTCCCGTGGCCACTAGTCCATTCGCACTGCAGGCTGACTGCCTTGTCATTACCTACCGTGGCCACTAGTCCACCCACACCGTAGGTTGACTCTACTGTCATTACACATGTAAGGATGTTAGACATCCTTGGATAGCATATTTGTAGGACATGGGGGTAACATGGCTATTAATACCATAACTTTCACGAGGGGGGCGTTACTGCATACAGATAGCTATGATGTGGCTTGCTAGATGGTGATTGGTTGGAAGGTATTCAAGAGTGAGAAGATGGATATTTGAAAAAGGTAAGGGCTCCATTGGGCACTTAGAAGGCGAGCAGAGGGATTGGATAGGAGGAAGGGATGGGCGGAGATTGAAGAGCGGGAGGGAGATGAGTATGAAAGGGAGGAGTGGGGGAGTGGAGGGGAACTTGGAAGAGGGAAGCAGGGAGTTGTGTTGGCTGGTGGTGGGCATTGAACGTTATTGTTGAGGACAAACTTATCCAGGAAGTACCGCCTTTGGAGTCCATTACATTTGGTGGCAGCGGTGGGATACTGCATATTAAGATCCTGCTAAATATGAGGGACTCTCGGAGAGATCTGTGGAAATGGAATATGGAGTGGTATGGGGCAGCGTGGAAGAGATGAAAAAAGCCTGGGACGGCAGGTCCTCAGGAAGGCTCAACCCGAGCACCACCTCCAATACGTGACACAAGATCTGCAAAGTAGATCCGTACAAGAGTTACACAGACGCCACGAAGAAATCCGTCCCACGTGGAGAAGTTGGAGAGTGTTGGATGCTGTTACATTGTTACTGCAACAGCAAATGAGAAGGGATGAGTCCGCAGCCAGTACCGGTGGAACCAGAGCTAGAAACTGAGGGACCAAGGCTGCCTACCCCACAGCCGGTTCTTGGGGAAACCATGCGAGATCAACCTTCCTTGCCAGATCAACTGTTACCTATCCATCAACAGCAGTTGCAGCAGCCACAGCAGTTCCAACAACAGCTGCAGCAACCACAGCAATAGAAGTTTCAAAAACAACAGCAGCTTCTATAGCAGCAGCCAGTGCTAACAGAGAGCCCATCTCACCTCAAAGAACAGGGGGCCCCGGGCTTATAGGATTCCATGGCAGCGGAGCGGCGTGGAGGTGCAAGACAGCTGCGTTGGCTGGCAGCGACAATAGAAAAGTTCCTGGCAGATGGAGGAAACTGGAGCGCCTTAGTGAGACGGCTTCAAGCAGCAGCAAAGGCGCTGGCATGGTCGGATGGAGAGGCGTTAGAACCACTACCGTCGGCCCTGGGTGATGGAGCACTCATTATTTTTACGGGAATCGCAAATGAGAAGACGACTGCAAGCAGCCCTCAAGGAGATGACGGATATTGTTGAACCCCCATCTGTTAAACGGCAGTTTGAGGAGCATTAACTAGGTGCTGCCGAATCGCGATTGCTCTTTAGAGGAATGCTGCTGGCCATGGCACGGGAGGCTTTCCCAAAGGCAGTTGAGGACGCCACTGGTTCCACGGTAGCCGATCACCAACTTGAGTATGCACACCAGCAACAACGTCTTCTTGCCAACGGGGGAGGATGACTCTCCTACTTCCCTATGGGTCGCCCACCACATCCAATCATTAAGAGAGCATGTGGCAGGCGTGCCGAATAGTAGGGCAGGTGGCGGAGCAAGCAGCGAGCGCTGGACAACCAGTAATGGCAGATGAACGACCAGGCAAGAATGCTTCACAAGGGTTGAGCGAGTTGGGGAAACCCCCCCCCCCCCGGGGAGTCGATGCGAGAAATGGTGGTGGCTTATTAGAGCGCTGGCGTCGGCGCAGAGGGATGATGTTAACCAGATGAATCGCTAGACCAGGGAGACGGGAGCAAGTTCCCATGGTTCGCCGATGAGGAATTCCGTGCTTCCGTTGCGGCCAGGTGGGACATATGGCCCGACGGTGTCGAAACGAGGCCAGGACAACAGAAGCATCGCCCCAGGATCCATTCTCCACGAGTGCGCTCAACATGCGGAAGGCGACTGCCGCCGACACCCGGCGGGACTTGCTTAGAATGCATTTGCACAACGGGTCATTAGAGGGGAGTCCACTAAGTTTGTCCCCGCACACACCACGCAAGAGGTGTAGGATCAGTAGATCCCTCATCGCAGTCATCCCACCTATCAGGGGGCGAGCCTGTTCAGTGGCTAAACTGCCAGACAGTGGGAGGGTCTTAGCAGCGGCGTTGGGAACTTCAGTCCTGGCGGGCATGGTAAGGGGGTATCGGGGGGTGTGTGCTCGTAGAAGGCCGTCCATAAATGACGTCACGCACCTGGGGAGGGGGGGGGATCAGACATCTGTGACGATGTGTGACGAGGAGGGGAGGGGGGGTTTGAGAAATGTGACGTCACATCAAAATGCACAACTTTAAATCAATATAGACAACACGTTCTACATAATAAAATAGACTTTTTAATACATGTTTTCTCCTACAACATCAGAGTGCAGCGCCACATTAAATACGCACTACAATGACAATAGTTTAAAGCGATTTGGAGCATGTTTTTTGGGGGGGGGAAAGAGCTTTGTGACGTCATATTTGAGGGGGTGTCTGACTTTTTGTGACGCCGTGTGACGAGGGCGGGAAGGTAAAAAATCGTTCAAAATCGCGTGACGTCATTTATGGACGGCCCCGGGACACGGGGGCCTCCGCGACAATTATATCCATGTTAACTTTCGAGATGCTACCTCAGGGCTGCTATCAATTTGAGCCGGATAAAGCAAGATATGTTGCAGCCAATGGGGGCAGTATGCGGATCATAAGCACAATTGAGGCTCCTATCTCTCTGGGAGATTTGGAAAAATTGGTCCCTGGTCTTGGGTAAACTCACTGTGTGCCATGTTTGATGGGCACTGATTGTTTTAATTGAATGCCCATTAAAATGAACACCGCAGACAGCTGTCTGGAGACACCATCAGGCAGGTTATTTTTTGTTGCGACCCAATGCGCAGACGGTGGTGACGACACAGGTCCAGGCAGTTTTCACAGAGACAGTAACCATTTCCTCCAGAAGCTCAGACACTCATCCCGTTCATGTATAGGACCCTGTTAATCATGACGCGTTGGAACTCTGCTCTTCTGGTGTCACTGATAGTCCATGGGGGGGCTCCGGTAGCGCTGATGAAGAAAACCTGATGGTTCTATGAGATTTTGCATTGATTTCCGTCGCTTAAATAAGGTCACCCTAGCCGACGCATATCCCATCCCGCGCATCAATGATGCGCTTGACGCTTTTGCGCGTGCCACATATGTTTCCACGCTGGAGCTTTTGTCAGTATTTTGGCAATTTCCATTAGATGAGGAGGCCTGAGCCAAAACAGGCGTTGTTCCACTTTCATTCCTTATCTATTGACCTTCAGACAGCTCCTGCTACGTTCCAGAGATTGATGGAACTAGTGTTAACAGGGCTTCAGTGGGAGGTATGCCTCATCTATTTAGACGACGACATCGTATTTGGTCGCACCTTCGAGGAACATGTGGTTCGGCTGAGACAGGTATTCATGAGGATGAGGGAAGCAATTTTTTTTGTTATAATGCCATCCAAATGTCGTCTAGTGCAAACCTTGGTGCGGTAACTATAGGTCATGTTAGCGCAAATGGTGCCACTACAGACCCAGAGAAAAAGTCTTGAATATTCGAATGGCCCACCCCCACTACAGCACCTGAGATGCAGCGTTTATTCGGATTCATCTCCTATTATCGTAGGTTTGTTCCCCAATTTGCTACCATCGCAAATCCCCATACACATACTCACCGGTAAAAATCATCAATTTGCGTGGGGTACGAAGGAGGACACTGTCTTCACCAACACTTCTCTTAAAAGCACTGCCGTTAGCATCCCCAAATGTTGCACTTCCTTTCACTCTAGACACGGATGCCAGCGATGTAGGCATTGGTGCAGTTCCATCTCAGACACAGGATGGCCGACAATTTGTCACAGCATTTGGGAGTCGTGTCCTGTCCCCAGCCGAATAGCGATATTGCGTCATGCACAGGAAACTGTTAGCGACAGTACATTTCACACAGCAATTTCGCCCATATTAAATATAATGAACCTTATGGCGGGACCCTGGGGTCCCATAAGCCCTCGGCTCTCGCATAAACATTATAACGTAAACAAAAAAATTGCTCTTTTTCACCAGTGGGTTTGAAGGATGGTGGCAAGTGTTGTCCTGTTAAACTACGCCTTTAAAACTGAAAACTATTCACCTACAGTACCTCTATTTAAATACACTATCGAAAAAATCATGTATACACCTCTCTCAATCATAGTGTTTTCTCAGTGTGGATTTGTGAACACACTTTGTAAACAGTACATAAGGTTCATATGGGCGCGAGTTTACTATTCGGACTGATCGTACATCACTCCAATTTTCATTACGCATCGATCAACCAGCTGGCCAGCTAGCACGTTGGATAG